GCTTAGCAGCAAGGATCATTTTTAAATTCACAGGTCTTTTACACACTCATGTCATGATGGAGTTCTGATACTAGAGTTCTAACACAACATGTTCTTAGAAAACTACTGCCAGAGCTTTGATTTTTTTTTTCTTAAATTCTCATATATTTACAGTTAGGTGCCTACATTGAAGAGTATGCAAACATCTGGATACTCATCTTTATTTTTAGTGTACTTGGCTTCTTAAAATGTGCTATTTATTTATCCATTTAGCCTTGCTTTTATTATACCATGTGTCATTCACAAATGCTGAGCCTAATGCTGAAAGCTTGTGACTACAATCCTCTACTAAGAGATTAAATTAAGCCATGCGGAAAATAACATATTTTAAAGGGACCATATTTTGGTGAACAATTTTGCTTTTATAGTTTGATTAATTGCTGAATTTCACCCAAGGCCCTGGATATGCAACAAGCAATGATCTAAGGAAAGACATACCAGAAAGCAGGAAATATTGTCTTGTTTGGAAATGTTCTTTGCTTATTAGATTATAAGAAAACAGCAGTGTTTCACCAGCTCTACTCTCCCCAAATAGATACAATTCTCTCATCCATTCTGCAAAATTCCCCCTTTAAAATCAACACAATTTACTTATACATAGTGTTAGGATATTTTAAGTGCTGAGCTTAATGACTTTTGACACATAAAATCATCACCCCCACAAATTCTGTATACATCCCTCTGAGAGCTCCCTCATACCACCTTAGTTGACTCATACCTGGGTCTGGGGCTAGAGGTCAGTGATGGACTTCATATACTTCTAACATCTAGATGGTTTAGCAGTTTTCATTTGTCTAATAGCTAAGGGTTAGAACATTTTCTCAAGTGTTTATTGGACTTTTTATATATTTTCTTTCATGGACTGTGGGTTAATTTACTCATTTATTTATTGGAAGATTAGTTACCTTGATGTGTACATTTTGGAGCTCTCGATATTTTCTCGGTTATTACCTCCCTGCCTGAGGAATAGCTGATAAACATCCTATCTGTTTTGTAATCTGTCCCTTTATTCTGCTCATCATCTCCCGTTCTGTGAGGAAACATTTTTATTTCATGTAATCTCACTATCCAGTTCCTGAAGTTAGTCCCTGTGCTGTTAGAGTCCTTTTCACAAAATCTTTGCCTATGCTGACACCTTGAAGTGCCGCCTTGATGGTTCCCTTAATAGTATTTGTGTTTCAGGTTTTAGATTAATGTATTTAGTCCATCTTGAGTTGAGTTTTGAGCAGGCTGAAAGACTTGGATCTAACTTCATACTTCTGTACGTTGATATCCAGTTTCCCAGCACCATTTTTTTCCCCATGAGTCTGTCTTCTTTTTTTCTAGTTTATGTTTTGACAACTCTGTCAAAGATTAAATGGCTGTGGCTGTCTTTATTCCTGGCTCTTCTAGTCTATTCCATTAGTCTATATGTTTATTTTTATGCCAGTATCATGCTGTTTTTGTCACTATGCTTATGTGGTATGATTTGAAGTCAGATATTGTAATATCTCTAGTACTACTTTTTTCTTATGATTGCTTTGTCCTTTCATGGTCCTTCTGTTTCCAAATAATTATTCTTGGACATTTTTCTAGTCCTTTGAATAATGCCATTAAAATTTTGATGGAGATGGAGTTGAGTCTATATACTACTTATCACTAATATAGCTTTTCCCACAATGTTAATTCTGCTAATCCTATGAGCATGGAACATTTTTTTTTTTTTTTTTCATTTTCTAGTCTGCTTCTTTCTTCAATATCTTACGGAGTTTATGGCAGGACCCAGATTGGTGTCAGTAGCTGTGTGTAGCTGAAAGCAACTGCTAACTCATTGATTTTTTAATTTTCTGTAGCTCTTTCTCTTATTTTTCTACTGGTATTTTGTTGTTATTCTTTTCTTTTCTTTCTTTGGCTTTTAAGTCTTGATTTTGATGAAATTATCTCATAGATAATGGCTTCTCATCTGTTGTCTAAACCTGAACCACCTTCTTACTACTTTAAGATGGGTCTATAAGTTTCTTTTAAAATATCATAGTACATATTTTATTCTTTACTTTGTTGTAACACTAAGATTTTGGTAAAATTTTCAATACATCTTTAGTTTCACTTACTCAGAAAAATTTAAGTAGCATTTATTATTTTTTTCTGAAGACCTTTGTACTCTCCTGATGTAACATTTGACACAACAAAGCCTATATATTCCAAAGTGAGGGAGAGAGATACACAAAGGATGTGCATGAAACTGAAGATCATTATAGCCACATTATTTTTTTAATTAAATTAAGTCCACCCTCTGACCATATCTCCCAGCTTATGTGGGTATTGAGAGAGTTTCTCTCTCATATTGAACATTCTCTTTCATCAGCATTTACAGATGCAGTTCTGGAAACTCTAAGTGATTAATTTACAGCCCTGCTGCTTCTAGACCAGACAGTCCTCCTGAAGTCTTCAGTCATGTGACTCAGTCCTCACTGCCTCACTCTACTCTTGCGTTGCTCAAAAAAAAAAAAATGTGTTTTTTTAAAGATGATATGTGTGTGTGTGTGCACATGCCATGTAATATGTGTGTGAGCATTCCATGTAATACAGGTGCAGACAGCTTGTGACAGTTGGTTCTCTCTTTCCATTCCATGGAATCCTGGGATTGAACTTAGATCATTGGGCCTGGCAAGGCCTTTAGCATTTGAGCCCTCTCACTGACCTTAAAATGTCGATTTAGGGTTTCTTATCCATGCCTGTTCTTAACATAGATGACACCATTGCTCCTGGCTTTGCAGACACGCAGATCTAATTGTGCAATAAGAAAATGTCTCGACATGTCTTATGGTGTTGTGCATTGGACCCAGCACCTTGACCGTGCTAGGCAAGAACTCTATCCCTCATATATACCCCAGACCTATTTTCAGCACTGGCACATATTGAGTAAAGTCCTTAGAAGGGTTTGAAATGCCAAAAGATGACAACTTATTTAGACTATGGTTATGAACATAAAGCCAAAAGTGTGGTGTTAATTTCTAGGACAGTTTCTCCTGATAGCAGTTGAGAAAAGTTAGAAGTAGAATTTTGTGTGTTTGTTTAGGGAAAGAAAAAGAGGCTAGCAAAGAAAAGGCTGAGTATAATTTCTCCACCTGAGGGGGGAGCAGCCTTGCCAGGTCACAGAGGAAGACAAAGAAGCCAATCCTGATGAGACCTGATAGACTATGGTCAGATGAAAGGGGAGGAGGACCACCCCTATCATTGGACTGGGGGAAGGGCATAGGAGAAGAAGAGGGAGGGAAGGTGTGATTGGGAGGGAATGGAGGAGGGGGCTACAGCTGGGATAAAAAGTTAATAAACTGTAATTAATAAAATAAAAAAGTAAAAACATAAATAAAAATAAAAGTGAGTATCATCAATAGGAACTTAAAAAAGTTTTGGAACTTTGAAGATGCTCATAGGTGTAGAATCAGGAACTAGATGTAGGCAGAACAGAGATGTTGGAAAGCATTAAGCATGAAACTTCTATGTGGCACTTTGGGGTCTACAGAGACTACCTAGAACATTCCCTGTCTAAGTTATCAGAGCTGGCAGGATCCAAGATGGAGAACTTAATCTATTAAATCAGACTTGACACTGGATGGAAGATTAGTTACAGAGAATCAAATTAAAAGTGTATTTCTTTAACTGCTTATTGACTTCAACAAAATAAAAGCTGGCGCTCCTGAGGAAAACAATGCTGAAAAGATTCCCAGGAAAACCGTAATGGACAGCCGCTGGGCAGGCAGTTTGCAGTGCACAGATGTCTTGTGTAGGTAACATAAGCACATCAATGCTGTTGGACATTTACTAAGCATGTACTGTGAGATCTTGGGTCTTTCTCATCTATAAATTTTGGCACCAATGGATTCTGAACAGCCTGCTTTTTGAGCCCATGAGTGCTGCTTAAGTTGTAGGAAAATCTGTGAAAAATAATTAGGCAAACACACACCAACCTTACAAGAAGGCTTCACTTGCTTCACGTTGGGCATTTTAGTAACAAAGGGGTGATTGGCTTTTGAGAACAGAACCTGACATCTCACTAGAGGTCTTCTTTCTCCAATGTCATGCTATCTGTTCTTCTCACTCTTCTGCCTGGAGCCTGTCCATTTTCATTGCTTCTCCTTTTGTGTCCCTGGTCTGTACTTCAGCTCTGCTGTTGATCTTCAGCCTATAGCCCAAGCAGCTCTGGATTTTTGCTATGTATGGTCCCACACAGGGAATGTCTTTGCTATTGTGAATTACTTGGATAGTTCTTTTTTCAGAGTTTTTTTTCTTTGACAACCCCAAGTTGACAACCTTTTTTGTCATTGAACATTTTTATTTTTATTGAAACCGAAAGACATATTGCATATGGTTTATAATACAGTGTGGCAGAATATTGCTGCCTTGGGCCAGATGAATGACTTCGGTGAGGTCTCAGAAAGTTCTGAAGGAGCTTTTTCTAGTTCTGCAAGAGGGAATCTAGGGTGGCTGGAGCCTCGAGTGACTGAGTCCTCATCACTGCTGTCCCTCATCTTGTAGGGGATGTCATTGGTCATTGCTCGTTCCTCGTAGCCTGGCCTTGTGTGCTGCTAACATTGCTTGGAGAAATTCTTTCTTAGCTGTTATAGAGATGGGCAGATGCCTTTGCAAATATTTGGGGGAAGACTGAAAGGGGATCTTCTCTATCAGACATATGGCAAATTGGCCTCTGGGCTCTGTTCCTCAGAGATATAGCTAGGTCACCAGTTCTCACAGGCCTTTTTTTTGTGGGCACCTTTGCCCCAGTCTTTATGTCAGATGGTTGATTTTAGATTTACTTCTTGGTGTTTATGAATTCAGTGAGCCAATGATGGAAGGTGTCCCTTCCACATTTAGTATTTGCAATGAATGTCTTGGATACCTGAGTGTGCATAGCAACAAGTGTTGGGTACTCCAGAGGAGAGAGGGGATGGGGTGCTCAAGACTCAGAATTCTCTTTCCAGGAAACCTTTGAGAAGGCAAGCTTAAGCAGCAGCAGCAGTGGAGCAGCCAGCCTAAAGAGTGAGCTTTCAGAGAGCTCAGAGCTACCAGGGGACAGCTTCCACATGCCCTGCGGAAAGGAGGAGGACAGGACCTGTGAGGAGGTGCTCTCCGAGGATAACTTCCAGCTGGACAGTGTGGAGAAAGGTGAGTCTGCTGTGAAAGAGTTGTGGGCAGGAGCACACAGGGGACCTTCTGTTCGTGGGCTCACCCTCTTCTTCTCTTCCGTGTGCAGACCTGTATTCTGAGCTAGACGATGAGCTGGATGTCCTGGACAACTGCAGCAGCTCCAGTTCAAGCCCTCTAAAGGAGTCTACATTCAGTGAGCTCACTCTACACGTCAGGCAGTGGGTGGGACTGCCATGGGTGGGGCCATGGGAGGGCAGGGGTAGATGGAGCCTAAACCTGCCATCTCAGGTGCAGCACTCATATAGAGTCAGAGGCCAGACACCAGACAAAGCGAGTGATTTTTCATTTTTATCAGCAAACACAAGTTGCAACTAGGGAGCTAAAATGGCTAGGCTACAGACAGACAAACCACCTTAGGAATGATGGGGGTAGCATTTCATCAGTCTGTGGGTGAGAGGAACTAGAAACTTATGAGAGAAATTAACCATGGCGTAGACTAACGTTTGTACAATTTTATTCACATTCCTTACCCTCATTTCATTTTTGTCAGTGTGATAAAACACTGACAAAAAGAACTTGGGGGAGTTTAAGGGAACTATGAGCCACTTAGCTCGTAGTTGTAGTTCCAGGATAGTATCCATCAGAGCAGGGAGTCAAGGAGGCAGGAACTTCAGCCACGTTACACCCACAGCTGAGAGAAAAGAGAAGTGAACATGTGCTTGCTTCTTGTGTTCAGACCATTTTCTATACTCAAACATGCTAGGGCCAAATCCAGGGAATGGAACCATCTAATAGGCAGGTTTTCAGGTCCTTCTTAACCTAATGAAGAAAATCTCTCACAGGCATTCTCACAAGCCATGCTGACCTAAGCCTGAGCTGGGACTCTCTTCCCATGGGACTCGTTAATGAATGAAACCAAGCATCACTATGACACATTTAGTGGGTCTAAGTAAAATAAATATCTTAAAGGCCCAAGGCATGATATGTAAATTCAGCTCAATATTAGTCTCAATTTGAAAGAAAAAAAAATAAAAAACATTGATAACTAGGAAAAAAAAGAAAATGATATATTTAGATAGAACCTAAAGACTGAGAGGAAAAATAGGATTAAATCAACTTGGCAGACATGAAACTGAAAGAAATGTTAAAATAGAGATGGTGAAAATGATAAATCTCCCAGAAGAGTTTGTTAACCACATTTAAATTTTCTAACTAGAGATACCTTAAAATAAATGAAGGAAAATAATTCTGTCTCTTCAGTACTTATGCTATGAAAACCCCAGAAGAGAAGATAGAAACTAGCCTTGCTAAAGATTGATGCAGAAGCAAGGATTCAGCCACATTCCTTGTCTTCTTTATACTTATTGACTCTATCAAAATGGTGACCAGATCGTACAGATATTCTGGAACAATCACCGTGTCCAATTCTTTGTTCTGTATTTCCTAAATGTTCCTGCCTGGGAGATAAAGTGCCTGGATTTGTATCTGGGGAATGATGGGCACCATGCAGGAGAAACCCTTCTTGCATGTAAATGTGTAGCAAACTCCAGAGGCACTTCACTGGCTGAGTGTTTAGCCCTGGTAACTGCGCTGGAGATGGGCAGTGGGAGCCAGAGAGAGACGGAACCTCAGTGTGGAGATGTCTGTGGAGGGCTTGGGGGTGAGAATGACACAGACATTCTGTACTTAATAACCATTTTCTGTTTATTGTCTTTATTTGGAAGAAGAAAAAAACAATCAAGTGCACAGTAATTTTTTACATTACATTTAAGCTAATACCGTCAAGAAAAATGGTATAGTAACAGGCGAGTGCCAAGACAGTGGAAGCTCAGACCTGGACTCTCTCCCCAGTACTGGAAACAAGCAAAAGCAACGTACAGCAACAGTAAAAACCACAGTTTCTGGAACTATAATTTACAGTTATTTCTGTTTCCTTGTTTTAGGCATTTTAAAGAGAAGTTTCAGTGCTTCTGGAAGAGAAAGGCACTCGCAGGCGAGGTATGTTTGTCTTGAGGAGCAGCATACCTAGAAGTGTATCTAGTCTAGGCAGAGCTGGGGCTAGGTTGCACCATGGCTGCCAGAAGTCATTCTGGGTGTGTGGACATAGAAACTGTTAGCTCCTGCCTCCAAGAGCCAGAAGCTAGGGTTGCTCAGCCTGCTGGAGAGTGCAAAGTCTCTGCCTGGATGATGCGGGCTCTGCCTTCTAGTTCTGTGACATCCAAACAGTCAGTTTCTCAGAGTCTGAGCCAAGACGAAAGAATAGCCATGCTCAGTGAGGTTACCTGAGTCCCTGGGTCCTTAGAACATGAGTATGTGAGTCAGCTCCATGGGAAATGTGGGCAAAGGGAGGAAAGGGGAGTCGGGGACATACACCTCTTTCTAAGGATCCAGCCCAAATCTTGTGCTTGTGATTCCAGCTTGCACATGTTTGGCAGAATTCCTTTATACAACCATACCCAGCTGAAAAGGAAGATTATATGATTATTTATACACACACACACACACATATATATACACACAAACACACATATGCATATATACATATATACATATACATGTCTACATATATAAAATCCTATATATGATGTCTGTGACATTGGACACACACACACAAAGATATATATATATATATATATATATATATATATATATATATATATATATATATATATATCATACAAATTGTTTTTTAAGAGAAAAGAGAAATTATAAGGGGATATCAGTTGTCTCTGTGACAGTAACTTTTGGGGGAAAGAACTAAAATTAAACTATTAGATTTGGCCTTTGCAAGTCCAGGATCGTTAGGAGAACAGTTTGGGAGCACTGTGTGAGGATGGAGGGAACCTCATAGTCTTAGATGCTCTACAGGCAGGGACAATTGCAGAACATGAGGAGTGGCTGGGATAGCTAGTGTCTGGGAAAGAGGCTCTGGAGAGGCAGTCTACAAGGAAGACATAATCAGTGGTGATTAATTTGATAGAGATGGTGCCAGAGATGTGTAGAGAGGGTCACAGCCCTGGATTTCTGTCTGCTGAGAGAGAGAGAACCATACAATTAAAATTAAGATCATCAGATAGAGAGGATCCCATTCATGAGATAATGCTCTAGGCCACTGCACAGAAGATGGTCTAGGGTAGGAATACTCTCCTCCAGAAGCAACCTGTATAGGGCTGGGGAATGGTCAGAGGGATGGTCAGAGGCCAGAGCACCCTTAACTCTGAAACACACCCGGTGGTGATGCCACACGGCAACAGTACAACCAAAATCTGCCATACAACAGGATGCCCCAGGCAAGGCGTTCACATAAAAATGGAAATTTCTAACAAGATAAATTCAGACATCTTGAAAGTGTCAAATAATTCTAACCTCAACTTCTAGAAAGATCCATGGGAACTTTCCTCATTTGTAATGCATCCAGCCCTTTGAAAATAGTTAGATGTTGAGGAAGGTTTTTTTTTTTTTTTTTTTTTTTGAGGAAGGTTTTTTAAATGTAGAGATTACTTGTGGTTTGTAACAAACTGTACGAGAGTTAGTAGACAGGAGTTCATCCCGAGGCAGGGGCTCCATGGAGTAGTGTCTTTACCATGTACTTATGAATCAATGAACCTGACAAGAGGCCACAACACTGAAGTGAACGCTTCTCAAACCCTGCTCCAGGCAGCTGAGGACTGACCTACAGCCCGTTTCTGTAGCTGTGTGACATGTAGAACAGGTCAAGACAGGCTGTTTGCAATGCAGTCACTCAGAGTACAGAATGTGCAGTGTGACACAGGGCAGAGCAGGGACAATGACAACAAACATCCTGCCGATCACACAAAGCAGGAGGAAAGGAAATTAAGACATTTTAAATCTCCTTTCCAGGTGATTCTAATAGCTTCTCGAAATTAAAATGAGACAGCTCTAAAGTATAATTTTTAGTTATCTTAAGGACGTTAAATAAAGCTAAAGTTTTTTTTTAATTTAATTAGTTTAGGATTTTCCTGGGCTTCTTGGTTTATTAATATGAAAAGAGAGTTAATCCTCTAAAATATGTAGAAACCAAATGATCAATTTAAATATAAAGGAAGACCATGATACCACACGCTAGAGTAAAAATAAACGGAAAGTCAACCCTGTAGACATGATTGGCTTTTCACAGCATGATCTACTGATCTACTGTGACAAGGAGATCCAGGGTGGGTAAGCAGAACAGAGAGAAAGCATAGACAAGAAATTCTCAAATTTGATCACTGCAGACAGAAGCAGGAAGATTTGTGGAAGCCATGATTTCAAGACCACTAAGAACCCCACCTCAAAAAAAAAAAAAAAAAAAAAAAGGAGAATATTCATCTGCTCATTTATTATTGTATGCCAGGCCTAGGATAAACTGTGTGTGGGCCTTTACCTTTTTTTCCTGGCACAGAGTGTTATATTCAGGTGCTGATCCACAAATGTTGGATGCTCATGTCAGTAAACGAACTATTTCACTGCAGTTTCTGAGTTTCTTACTGTAAAGGCCTGAAATCTTGCTCACTTCCTGGAATTAATTCATAGTGTTAAGCGTAGATTAAGGCTTACTTAAAAAAAAATCTGTTGCTTAGGCAACAAGATTTCTCTATGCCTACTTGCCTTCTGTTGCCAAGGCAACAGAAGGTGTAGTTGGCTGGTGGCTCTGAAACATTGGATGTTTGCAGCTTCAGAGACGCCTGCAGTGAATACCTTCTTTGTGAGCATGATTTCTTTAGAGGCTGTGCCCTGATTTCAGTCTTCGTAGAGAGAGGAGCCTTTGGAGGTTTCTGCCCATGCAGCATCACAGATGTGATCAGCAGGGCCCTCACATTGTCTCAGGACCCATGACCGTTCCCTCCCAACAGCCACCCATCTCACCGTTTACTCAGGGCTGTTCTACCTCCCTTCTTCATAATCTGGGTCTCATTTTGCTTTCATTGCATATGCATGTCTCATTACTACTTACCAGAACCAACCTGGCCTCTGTGCCAGTGTCACAATCAGGTAGATTTCCTAGCAACATGATAACAAAGAGCTGTATGCCAGCAGTTCTAAGATTCCCTGGTTATTGCTCATTTGCTTTCAACCTTCAATACAGTCTAAAGCCAGGAACCTGGTGCCACCTCCTCATGGAGAGACCAACTCTGTTAACACTGCGGTAGATGAAGAGCTTGACCAAACCTGAGAGCCCAGCCTCCCACAAGTCAGCTGACACACCTGTCATGGTCATCAATATTGAGTGATTCTAGTTATGTTGTATGCCATGGTTGGAGTAACCTCACATGACATGTTCTCAGTGTTGTGAGCCAAGCTTCTCATTTTCTACGATGTATTTTAAGGATTTCTTTGAGGGAAAATTCTAGAGCTTTTTCTCTTTCCTAGCCAGGACTTTAATGACAAAATAATTATCCAAGTAATTCACGCTTTTCTGACAAAATAATTACCAAACCAATTCACACTGTGCTTGCATCAATTCAGAGTAAAATCTATCCTCAAAATCACAGAGTCCAGCTTCATTCTCTGCCGACTGTGGACTGGTGTGACTAACCGTGTACACCAGCACTCTTCAAGGCGTATGTGCTGTAGACCAGGCCATGCTGGATCTGAGGACGGAGAGAGGTCCTGCCTTTAGAATCCTTTACGTTTCTGAAATGTTCAAGCTTTATGCTCAAGCTGAAATGTCACAAGTTTTAGTAGCTTTTTGTGCCCATTTTAAAACTTTCATTAGGCAGGATCTTCAATATGTCTGAAATTGCTCCATGTTAAATCATCCCTGTGGCCAGCTGAGCTATTGTGGGAATGGAATCACACTGCTCCAGAGGTCATAAGTGTCCTGTGTGCCTCGGTCTAGAATATCCTCAGGCTCTGTATCATTTTCACCATCTGCCCATCTGGGCCCAGCAGTTGCCCAGCAAAAGCTGTAACTTCTGTTCATAGTGGATCTATGCCATTTTGATGTTACAAATGACTGCCCATCCTTGGGACTAATGACTTATCTTCAAAGAAATTAATGGTTTTTCTGATGTCCTTGCACAGCAACCTCAGAAACTTTGAGACTATGAAGATGGCTTCTTTTCACTACTGGTGTCTAGCACAGGGTCCCAAGGAAAGAAGTGTGTGTGTGTGTGTGAGAGAGAGAGAGAAAGAGAGAGAGAGAGATTTATATGAACATTCCTTAATGCTTATATTTTAAGATTGATTTTATTTTTAAATATATGTATGTATGTATGTGCATCCATGAGTACACATGCCCACAGAAGCCAGTAGAGGGGACTGAATCCCCTGGAGCTTGGGGTTACAGAGGGGGCGTAAGCTGTCCTTGTAGGGATGCTGAGAACTGAACTTGGGTCCTCTGTAAGAGCTCTTAACTGTTGAACCATCTTTTCAGCCTTCACCTTAAAGCTTACTAAAGAAGAATCTAGAATTATATGGCACAGTGCAAAACTTGGAACAGCTGAGCACAGTTGCCACATGGATGTCACGTGATCCCATCACACATACCATTTGATAGGAATATTTGAAACAGAGGACTTTCTAGGACAATAAAAATGGCCATCCAGCTAACTCCGTTTATGTGTTACCAGCCTTTCAAAAACATCCATATGGATGATGGAAAACAAATGAGAGTTTTCCACAGGTTGCATTTTAATTCACCTTTAAGGTAATGAAGGGCATGAGGTGTCAGACCTAGCAGCTCTATGGCCTGACTAAAGCTGCCAGGAAGGAATAGTGCCCAATGGCTTCTATAGAAAGGTCTGGAAAGTTTAAATGGAGATAGCTCGGCACATGTGTTGACTTGAACAGCCAAAAATGTGGCTAGTGCAACTGCAGTACCAAATGCTTAGTCTGGTATTACTTTAAATGTAAAATAGTATAAAATACTATTAGTTTTAAAATATTGTTGTTTTGGATATATTTGATGAAATAAAATATGATTAATCTCACATTTTTTTTTAACTCTTTAAGAATGTGTGTATCTGGAAAGTTTTAAGTTAGTGGTAAAAGAAGTGGAAAGGAATTAAGGAAAAAAACCATTTGTAAGACGGAGATTTGGAAGTTTTCTAGCATCTAAACTAGATTGTTGGTCAATGTGTGCCAACTTGGCTATGCTTAACAACGTGGGCGTGAGCTGCGAGTGCACACTGGAAGTCGTGTGAAAGGGATCAGGTAGGGGAAGCCGTCTGTCATCCATGCGCCCTGTGAGTCCTCACACCCGGTGCTGCAGAGTAGAGTCCAGGACAGCCAAGGCTACACAGAGAAACTCTGTCTCAAAAAACCACAAAAAAAAAAAAAAAGAAAGAAAGAAAGAAAAAGGTTAGTATTAGCTGTTTTTAATATAAAAATCACGGCCAGTCAAGGTGACCACATGACAATTTGAGTCTAGCCTGATCTGCATGAGATCACACACACACATACACACACAAACACAACACACACACACACACACACAACACATACACACACAATCACTGCTTTGATTTCGTGGTAACAAAAACAACATTCAGGACACTGAGCTTGGGTTTTGCTCTTCTTAAAGGTTTGTTCATCACAAATCACCCAAGAAGGACAAGATGCTTCTGTCTGCACTCAAAATATTGATTTCTGCCTTTACCAAATACAGCAAACGGCAATTCTCAGCAACTGTTTGTCACTAGGTGGAACTGTTCTAATAGCCCTGTCTGATTCTGTCTCCAGGGACTTCATTGGTGGAATAGGATCAAGACCAAGACCAGGTAATTCAGAGTTGACACAGCCGTGCCCTCCAAAAGCTAGTGTGGACTTGTCAGTTCACCCCTCCCTTTTCCTCTCTTCAGCTTTGCTGCCTCTCCATCTGCTTGTGAAAGTGCCACCCTCATGCCCAGGGCCCACCTTAGGAAGGAGAGGCCGAGGTAGTACAGGGTGGCAGTTCCAGAGCCGGCCTGGTGCTGCTCTCCACAGCCTCAGAGATCACAGAGTACTCAGTAGATCCTTCTGATGTTAAGCACATGGCAGAACAAAGAGCTGAACCTAAGGTATCTTGAAGGAAGCACAGGGTGCGTGTGACAGAGAGGGGAGGATGCTGTCTGACTTGTCCACCACTGCTGCAGTTCAGTGGCACGAAATTGAGCCAGGCATTATAGGCTGTCCTTCACATTGCTGCCTTCAGGAGAATATAAACCACCTAAGCTATAAAGTATGTAAGTACTCCCAAAATAATGACTTTATAATGTAGGTATTTATGAAAACTCACCCTCTTCAGTGCCAGAACATGCATTTTCCCTCATCTCTTTTGCTCTACACAGTTAATTTTCTAAACACAGGTTTTTGTTTTTTGTTTTGGTTTGGTTTAAATGAAATTATTACATAATTTCTCTCAGTTAAAAATTATTCTTATGTGTGTTACCGTGTGTATGTGCTGATGCACACCTGCTCTGGAACACACATGGAAGTTAGGCAATCACTTGGTGGCATCAGGGCTCTCCTTCCACGGTGGTGTCTAGGGACTGAACTCATGTCAGCCAGCTTGAACAGCAAATGCCTTTATCCGCTGAAGCATATCATCAGCCCCAAATTATGTATTTTTAGATGTAAATGTTTATAATGATGCTGTGAGATGAGAAAAACCGTTTAGCTAGTTTTTTAAATTCTTTATTAATTACACTTTATTCACTTTGTATCCCCCCTGTGGTTCCCTCCCTCCTCCTGTCCCAATCCCTCCCTTCCTCCACCCTCTGCATGCATGCCCCTCCCCAAGTCCACTGATAGGGGAGGACTTCTTTTTCTTCCTTCTGATCCTGTCACTTAGGTCTCATCAGGAGTGGCTGCAGTGTCTTCTTCTGTGGCCTGGTAAGGCTGCTTCCCCCTCAGGGGGAGGTAATTAAAGAGCAGGCCAATCAGTTCATGTCAGAGACAGTCCCTGTACCTATTACAATGGAACCCACTTGAATAAGGGTGATTAAGGAAAGCCAGTGTCTAATAGTAACAGCATAATTATCAACTAAACCTAGACCATTCAGGAGGCACCTGGTGGTTTTGCTTTTAACATATGAGAGTGTATAATTCTTGAATGAAATGTTTTATTTCAGTATGTGGGTTATTTAGAGTTCTTCTTTGGTGCTGTCTTCACCTTTACTCCTTACCTCATGTTTTTTGTTACATTCAATATGTATGCAGTGAGCACATATAATGTGGGTGAGGTTGCAGTAATTTTAGGCCAGGTCTCTCCACTTATTGAACTTTCTTTGAAAGTGTTATGGGAAGTGTTATGGATAGGCTGTCACTACGTCAGTATAAATGCAAAGTAAGATGATTGTGTCGTGAAAATGCCCAAAAGTGTCACATTGAGCCTGGCTCCCATACTGCTGTCTTGGCAAAGGTGAGTTAACAACATGAGGTGGATCTGAAATGATGGCTGTTTTCAGCTCTGTAACAGTGAGGGCAGCACTCCCCACCACACAAGCAACCGTTGGCCCATGTAGTTCATCATACAGATTCAGTTTTTGTTTTTTTTTTTCTCAAGGGTGGATTGAGTTGGTATAGTGTAAACTTTGATTTATTAAAGTTTGAACTGCAAGGCGCTAGAACGTTTTGAGTGTCAGTGAATGCTGCCTTTTCCTCCCAGGATCAGGGGTTGGTTTTACTGATCTCGTGGAGCACACACATGCACGGGAGGATCAGGCCCCACCTGCGAACTATTTGCTTCTTAGTCCAAACTTTGCTCTTTACTTTCCTCCATTTGAATGCTAAGCTGCATTTCTGCCTATTGTAAAAGTGCTTTTAAAAGTGTCACAGGTAAATCTAGACCGCTGTGGGTTTAACAAACAGCTGGCAGCAGGCAACTTTCTCAGTCACCTACCCTGCTGGTGACTCCAGACACACCGTGACACTCTCCTCGCTGAGAGTAAAGGTGTGACGCTGACTCCAGACTCCACCACAGGGGTTGAACAGCAGGTGCAAATACACCAGCACCACTTAGTTACGAAGAAGACACACACCAGGATGTGTGAATGATTGGTGTAGTGTCTTAAGGAATGTTCTATTGTATTTTTACCTATTTGACATCAAATCCAGCTTTCTTAGGTGGAGTGGAGCATGTTAGAAATTAAGCATAGCACCCCTAGCTCTGAATTTCTTAACTATGCTGTTAAAAATGGCATGGAAGAGAGAATTTAATCAAACTTTGAGCAAGCCCCAGGACTGAACGCAGCACATGAGGATCACTCTCCCTGTGCTGCGCAGTAACAGGGATGAGAACCGTGAATATGGAGTGGCCCGTCACCATCTTAGGTGGTTGTGTAGACTGGCTCCTAGGGGCTCTGAGTCCATATTGTGATAACGGCAGAACCGAAGGAACCACAATCCTGTAGAACCACGAATGCCAAGCTACCCCAGTGAATGCTCTTACAAGACCCTATGCTGTCTTTTCTTGTTAACTGGATCATGTCAATAGTATGCTATACTCCTATGTCTTGGGTTGAATAAGATGCAGTTCCCTGTCTAGAAAAGTGAACACCTAGGGTGGAAGTGTTGGCAAGAATTAGCAAGGAATCAATGTATGCATGAAACATGTTGTTTTAGTCAGCTGGATATCTTCTGCATATTTTACCATACCCCAGTGCCATTTATGCCATTTCTCAATGCTTTCTCAATGTGAACCTTTTAAACAGAAGTCTATATTATCTCTGCAATGGGAAGCCAGTACAGTGTTACTTGCCATAAATAAACAGCAGTTCTACACATAAATAATACACCTAGAAAAACATCCCTGTGCGTGTGTGCATGCGTGCATGTGTGTGGTTTATGAATGAGTTCATGTCTGTGCAGGGGTGGTTGACTAGGCTAGGTGGTCAACGACAGTCAGGGATCCTCCTGTCTCCTCTTGCCCATCGCTGGAATTGCAGTTATGTGCATTCATGCTTTTTGCTTGGGTCCTGGAGAGCCAAATTCAGGTCCTCATGCTAATGAACAAGTGCTTTACCCACTGAGCCTCCAAACCTCCAACCCAGCACGTTTCTAAATTTTCTTTAAGTTTATACTGATTCTTTGTTAGTTTCACATGATGACCTTAGTCTCATTCATCTCCCCATCCTTTCTTATCCACCCTCTGCTCTTGCAACTTACCTTTCCCACAAAAAACCAAACCAAACCAAAACAGCAAGGACAAAATCTTGCCATGGAAGATGTGGTGTGTCACACAGTATAGCCATTTGTCAGCACATCTTTAGTGGCAACTGTTCCTTGCAAAGAGTCATTGGTCTTGGTTGGAGGCCTCTGGCTTCTGCTGTATCATCAGTACTAGATTCTCACAGGTTTTCCTCTTGTTGATCCTGTTCTTGCCCCGTGTCTTCAAGATTCTTCAGCTTTGGGTCATTTGTTCTAGCAGTTCATAGATGGATTAGGCCAACTCAGAGCCCTGGATCTGGGCCTGGGTAGAAGCTGAGTTGGGCAAGCTGTGGGTTCTCCTGAGCCTGTGCCACCAGGACCAGCTCTACTGTGCTGTTCAGGTGATGGGCAGGGCCAGCTCCCCTACTCTCATGCCCTCAGAGCAGACTTTCCTGTGCCCATGCAACTAGGACCAGCTCTACTGTGCTGCCCAGGCAAGGTGTAGGGCTCAATCTTTGGAGTGCTGTAGCCATCAAAGGGCAGGGCCAGCTCTCCCACTTTCATGACCTCAGACTGGCTCACCCATATTCCAGGCCTGAGCATCAGCTTTATTGCTCTGCTCAGGTGAGGGGTGCAGCCTGCACAAGTCAAATTCTTAAGTATAAGTGTGGCTGGAGTAATGCTGATATTTCCCTCTTTAACCTCAGTTTTCATTTGGAGAGAACATGACATCCATGTGCTGGATTGATGTGTTGATCTCTGAGTGTTCTCAGTCTACACTATCAATAGAAACTGTCACTTCATGATTGCTAGGCTCTTAGGTGACTTTAAATGTCTATGATCTATTTTTGTATTCATCCTTTCCTCAGGAAAGCGCTCTGAATAAAGTAGTTTGTGTTTTACCTGAATATTCCAGAATCACAGTTCATATTCTCCCTGTTTCATGTGGGTGTCTTTAGTGGCTTACTTTCTGGTTAGTCATTGGCACATACTGTGTAAAATGACTTTCCACAACTGCCAAAGATTTCACACATGTTTATCTTTTATTCTTTTTCCCAAGACAAGAGTTTCTCTATGTAGTCTTAGCTATCCTAGAACTTGTTTTGTAGACCAGGCTGGCCCAGAACTTGTAGAGATCTGCCTGTCTTAGCCTCTTGAGTGTTTAGATTAAAGGTGTGTGCAACCACTGCCTGGGATGTTTATCTTATCACATAGCAGCCTCCTAAGCATGTATAAGCTGGGCAGAGTTTAGTTCAAGTGTCTGTGCTAGCGGCCTTTACCATGCAATTGGCACACAATTCTGGGCTTTCTGTGTTTCCAATAGAATTTGGAGTATATTGTTTCTATCTCTCATCTTGAGCAGGCTTTTTTACAAGTGCAGACTTGAGCAGGTGTACATATACACACACAAGCACACAGACACACTCACATACTCCTATGAGGCCAGGCATTGAAAATAGTTTGCTGAGTCACCAGTACAGATATATTGCTGCAAAGGTCCTTGCTTCTCCTCACATCTGATCTGAAATTCACACTCTGAAACACTCCAAACTCAGCCTTTAAGCGCTGACATGAACGATTCTCTCCTGATGTTGTATGCTGAATTCAGTCAGCAAAGACGTGTGAAATCACGATCAGGCTGTGTGTGTCT